TTTCTGCCTTTTGCTTCCTTCCTTCCTTCTGCTTCTGTTACTTCTGATCTTCTTTTTTTGATCTCCTTCTTGGACCCCAGTTTATATAATGAAACCCGAGTCTTGCTTATCTATACCTTAACCAATTATTTTAGTATAATTTTACTAACCAATCATAACAAAATTACCTAACCAATCACACTCCACCACCTTAATTGATTTACACCTAGAAAAATTAATTATACAACAGACAGAAACAGTTACAAACCAGACAGGAATCACACAGTCAAATAATAGGAAAGCATAATGACAATGATCATAGAATGAAGATTGCACAACATTCTCTATTGATAAGCAGTTTCTTTCTAGCCAGAATGGTGTTACTTAAGTTTTCTTTACCCATCTTGAGATCTGTTTCTTTATCTGGTGACAGTAGGAGAGCTATCAGGGCACAGTCCCCTCCTCACAGCCTGGTGTGAAACTTTTTAATACAAAATAGATGGAATGTGAGTATGTGACTCCAGGCTTTACAGTTAATGGCTGCTGCTCTTCAGTCTGGCTGCAGAAGGCAGCTTTGGTTCAGGCCTAGCACAGGTCTTCCAACATGGCTACAGAAAAGCCATATTGTTACACTGTAGCGACATCCATGGCTTTCCTACAAGGGGTTGCTCTCCAAGACATATACCATGCAGCCACATGGTTCTCTAATTATACTTTTATGAAGCATTATGTTATCTTACATCATTTAACTACTGATTCCTCAGTAGCCTCAGCAGTACTTACAACTGCTGTTAAAACAGGACTCCAAGACCCAGCTGCCATGTGTTCTCGAGTACCGTTACAAAGTCACCAGAAGTGGAGCACCCATGGGACATCACTCAAAGAAGAGGAAGTTACTCACCTTGTGCAGTAGTGACGGTTCTTTGAGATGTGCGTCCCTGTGGGTGCTCCACTACGTGCCTTCATCCCAGCTTTGGAGTCTCTACTCTTAATTATGTTTTTGTCAGATACTCGGGTGGATGAGAGGAACTCGTGCACATGTGCAAAAGGACGCAAACGTCACAGGACGCCTACTACGTACCCGCGGTCTGGCTGACTATTTCTACATAAAACTCCAATTTGTAGCACCAGGATGATCCTGACACCAACAGCGGAGCACCCATGGGAACACACATCTCAAAGAACCACCATTACTACACAAAGACCAATTCATGGACATCAACTGGGTGGTTGGGGAAGGTGCACGACATCTACATCTTCTGGAACTCCTGCCTGTTCCAGAAGATGCATGCTGGCACTTTTTTCCACAACTGCACCATGAGGGTCGAAGACGTGGACATGCCCATGTGCATCCTGGGCAGTGCAGTCTATCCCTTGCTCTCCTGGCTGATGAAGCCCTATATGGGTAGCCTGGACTCCATCAAGGAGAACTTCAATTCCAGGCTGAGGAGGTGCTGCATAGTCATGGAATGTGCATTCTGCCACTTGAAAGGGAGGTTCAGGAGTCTCCTCACCTGCCTGGACCTGAGCGAGCGAAACATCCCCTTCGTGGTGGCCTTCTGTGTGCTCCACAACCTATGCAAAAGCAAGGGTGAGACTTTTCTGCCAGGTGGAGCAGGAAAGGCACACAGGGGCATGTATATAGGGAAAGTTATAGAACTCACCTGAAGTGCCTTCTGTGGGTTTGTCCAATGCCTTGGAAACATCCTGGGAGGGGGGGGGGGGGGCACACCACGCTCCTGGCTGGTGGGCATGGTCACCTCTCTGGCCGCATTCTCCTCCTCCTCCTCCACAACACCACCCTTGTGGAGGCTGACACCAGGCAGGAGTGTCCTGGCTGGAGTCAATGACGTGGGCGGAGGTGACTGGCCCCTCTGCTGGGATGATATTGAACTGGTGGTAGTACCGGCATGTGTGCGGTGCCACCCCAGAGCATCTACTCTGCTCCCCGGCCTTATTATAGGCATGCCAGAGCTCCTTTATTTTCATGTGGACCTGGTCAATGGTCTGCATGTGTCCCTTCTTGGCCAGGCTCGTGGCCATCCAGCCATACATGTCAATGTTGCGCTTTCTGGTGTGGAGATCCTTGAGGTTGGTCTCCTCTTCCCAGACCTTGATAGGTCCAGGATATCTGCGCCAGTCCAGGCTGGTGCTTACTTGCGTCCCTAGCCACTTGCGGCTGAGGATGCTACAGGAGTGCTGGCAGCTGTGGGAGATTCAGAAGGAGTGCTGGAATTGGCCATGGCTCTTGTGATTTTGCAGTGTGGCGTGGGGGCTGTCCTCGTGCCGCAAGCCCTTTTCCTGCAGCCTGCTGCTTTAAAAGCTCTGCAGGAGAAGGGGAGCAGTGGAGCTGGCAGGTGTGGCCAGAGTGGCCACAAGTGCAGCTCTGAGAGGCTTCTGGAGGCCAATTATTTCAAAATAGTAGCAGCTGAGCATCCACGCTAATGCTATTTTGAAATAACAGTTTCAAAATAAGTGTTATTCGTTGTGGAAAGCAGGAGTACAGATTTTGAAATAACCAGCCTGTTATTATGAAATAATGGGTTTGGTAGTGTGGCCCCTCCGCTTGTTATTTCAGAATAAAATAGTGTAGACCAGAGCCTAAAGAACAGGCCACTAGGAGCACATGCAAAGATTGTGACTCTTGGGGAATCAGAGATAAGCTGGGGCGCTGAATTAGTCATTGGCTTTCTGTATCCAATGACCCTACTCTTTGGCAGTACAGCTCCTACAAAGTCATACCAAGACCCTTTTAATGAAGATTTTCCTGTCAGCCATGTTACATTTCTGTCTTGGGCTACACGAGGCACTAATGGGGGATGGGAATGATAGGCGTTTCCCTGCGGTCCTATTTTAACGGTCTCATTCCTCTGCCAGCCCACCTGTCCCCTAAGCCATGTGGTAGGTTAAGTATATCTTTATCTATGCAAATGGGTACTTCTTACAAACAGTATCAGAAAAAAAAAAAGACTAATATTGGTCATACTTAAATAAGTATTTAGATCACTTAGTTTGAGGGGTTTTTACATTTTGAGTATCATTAATTTTAAAAAAGTATTAGGGGTTAGCAATGAACTCAGGATGTTATACCATTTCTCTCCCTCTTCTCCCTTTATGAAAGGTGCTGACAATATCCTGACAGTGAGCCATGAAATACATTTTTCCAGCAGCATCACCTATCTCCTTGATGTGATTCCTTGGCATCATCTCCTTGGCAGTCTTCAGGCAATTGAGATGGTGGCTTTGAAGTTGTCTCTAAAGAGACTGTTACATTAGTAGTCTGCTCAGCTGGACTGTCTGTTTTGATTTTTCTGGATATCCTCTTTCTGTTAATGACCTTTTGATTAGAAGTAAATCATGTGTTTATATCAATTAGTATACAATACCAAAATAATTTTTTTGTTGGAGGCACATATTACTTTACACATTTTTCATTAAAATATTTTAAAATGCAACAGATTGTCACTTGAATTCAATATCTTTGTGCTCAAATAAACTTCTTTATTTTGTTTCGAAGTAGTGAATCCTAGATACACACTCCAACTCAGGGTTTTGTTGAAATCCTGAGCTTTGTATGTGTATATATATATATATATATTACAGGCAGAATTTGGTATGAAGACTATATTTTTAGTAGTGGCTTCTAATTTTGTAGGCCCAGGCTGTGTGAGTATGTATTAGACACATATGTCTTATTTCAAGAAAATAGCTGTTTAAAAATGAACCCTGGAAGATTAATTGTAATAATCTTTAATTTCTGTATATATACTATGAATGTTGTTTCTCAAAAACAATTTTTACTTTTATTATTTTAACCATGTAAAAACTTGTGTGTGCAGTGCAATTCAGGTATGCATCTGTGGTGGTCTAATTAAAAAATCACATGTAATCATAAAGATAATTTGGCTACTAACAAAATACAAGCAGCCTAACAACTGCATAACTATGCACACTTAATGAAAGATTGTGTGTAAAATATATGTATTTATTTCTTAATATGGAAAGCTTTGATTGATGGACTGTAAATGAAAAGCTAAGCTAGGTCCTTGAAATACAATAGCCATATGTTGCCATGGTACTGTAAGCCAAGTTAAATGTTAAAGATAAGAACGGATATGCGTAATAAGAATAGAACATAGAAAAACCTTATTTAAGAAGCTAATAGTTTATTTGAAACGTATGTGTTTTGTATTAATTTCTCAACATCTTAAAATGGCTATCGTAATTTTTGCACTTCATTATCTAATAATTGCTTATTTCAGTACTGTGATTAATGGCAAATATAGAACTAATGAATTTCTAATACTGCAGTTCTTGAATAAGTCAGCTAATTAAGTTTTTTTAATTAAGATGAAGTTAGCTAAGGATGTTGTGCTAAACTCAAATGCATAATCTCACAATGACAATACCTCTCATTTAGCTATGTATATGTGGTAGAATTTGTATTTCAGTGCCATCAAAATGTTCTTTTAAATTGACTTTGGCAACTCCTAGTTTGGTTCTATTACAAAACAATGTGCATTTTTTCAATGAACAGTGTAAAATAAGTTTTTAAAATAATATTTCTGTATTTGACACATGATCCATATTAATATCTGTTTACCATTTAAATGGGAAAATGTTGTCTAATTAGGGTGGTTGGTTAAATTTTGGTACTTTAGCTTTCTCTGGTGTTAGCCATGCATAAAATGCTTTCCTATTGATCAGTGCAGAATAGCCAGGGCTTAAACAGCTGACATCTGCTTACTCTTTTTTTTAAACACAGAATAACAAACCATTTCAGCCTAATCTACCTCAAATGTGTGCATGTAAATGGGGGTCCATCTATTGACCTGTATTCTTTTCAGTTGTGGATTGGTCCACATGGTTTATGAAACCAGGAGGGCTGATTTGAAATGCAGATGTCGAGACAGTGAAGTGCACCCTCCCCTTTTTTCTTTGCTCTATCTGTCAGGGTGAAAAATGGCTTGCACAAGGGTCAGTCACCCATACTCACTTAATTACTTTTCTTGGACCTACAGAACTGTCACAAGCTGTGGTGGATGCAGGAGCTGTTCCTCTTTTAGTACTCTGTATCCAGGAGCCAGAGATTGCTTTGAAAAGGATTGCTGCCTCAGCCCTCAGTGATATTTCAAAGCATTCTCCAGAGTTAGCCCAGACAGTAGTGGATGCAGGGGCTATTGCTCACTTAGCCCAGATGATCCTGAACCCTGATGCTAAACTGAAGGTACTTTTAATTTTTTCCTAAATTACATCAACCATTATTTATTACTAAACTGAGGTAATTAATATCCTTTTATTTAGAAAGATCTTGTTTAAAAGTCTAACAAAATAAAAGCAAAACTACACAGTTGATAACAAAGAGTTCTGATTATGTTTGCATGTTCAATGGCTCTTCAGTTATGAACAGTGAAACTAGTCTTTCAAGTGAATAGTGTTTGTGTTCTAGGCCAACAGTGCACAGAGAGGTTTAGTTACATTTGAGAAACAAATTTGATGTTATATGTAAAATCCAAATATTAAATGTTAAAACATGTTTGATGGATTTAATAGGTATTATGTGCACAATGCAGTTACGGGCAAGCAGTTATACATTACTGGTTGCAGTATAAAAACATTTTAGTTCCATATTTAAATATAATTATTTTTGGAATATATTGAATATCTGTTTAAATAGCTCGTAAGTTGTAATATGTATGATTTAGTTAATAGAAAATATAGTTCTATTCCTGTGTACAGTTTTATTGCCTTATTCTTACAACTATAAATACATTATAAAATATCATTATTAAAAATCATATACATATTTAAAATGGAATATTTTAAATCTAAGATCTGTAGGCTCAGTTTATGATTTGCAAGGCAAAACAATTACTGTATGTTTCTATATTATTTTAAAGATAGTGTTAAATTTTAATTTACTGTATTTGCATTTATGTTTTATAGCAAATGTTAAGGGGTAGACCTATGGAGAAACTTTTAAAAGATACAGTACTAGTGAACACTTTAAGTTATTAGACTGGTATATGAACAGACTCAATGAATTATATAATAGCAATAATTGTTTGCTCTGTTTGCTTTGTTTTTTGATTAAGTAGATTATGTGCATGATGACGCTGTGTGTGTGCTGTGGGGTGTTTGTATAATAATAATTTATAAAACAATTTCTGTTTACCAGCGTCAAGTGCTTTCAGCTCTCAGCCAAATAGCAAAGCATTCTGTGGATCTTGCAGAAATGGGGGTTGAAGCAGAAATTTTCCCAGTTGTACTCACATGCCTGAAGGACTCAGATGAATATGTCAAGAAAAATGCTGCAACTTTAATTAGAGAGATAGCAAAGCACACGCCTGAGGTAACACCTTGAAAATGCAATACAAGGTTGCATTATTAGATTTTACATTTTAAATACAATGCTGTATTGTTTTGTCATTTGCTTTTAGAAAGGGAGGGCAAAAGACTGTGTCATTTCCACTGGAAAAATATGGAAATGTTTTTGTTGGTGTTCTGAGATGTGTATTGAATATGAATTGGATTAGGAAACTAGGAACAATGTACATACTTAGCTTTTCCTTACCAGTAGGCGTCAGTGCAGGGAATGGGGAGTACACTAAGGATATTGCCAGCCACAAACATTGAAACATTGTGAATCAAAATATCCCTCTTATCCTTCCCAGTTATGAGATTGGCCATCATGAGATATTTTACTATTTTGGGATTTTTTTCTTCTTCTGGTTGTTGAGCCTTTAGATGACACTTGAGTCACATTTTCAGGTTTTTTCTATGCATCAGAATTTGCTTTTAATAAGAAATGAAACTGGGCTTCTGAAGTCCAGGAACTGAAGACTTGAAACCAAAGATTGAATAACACAAGACTCAAGATAAAATCACAAGAATTGGCAATCCTCAGTGAATATTTGCAATTATTGTTTTCTAACCAGGCTTTAGATATCATTCTAATGACTCTCATTGACACTGGAAAGTTCTGATACATATGCTTGATTTTAGACTGATAGATAGTAGACCAAAATAATCTCTGCTGTAATTCAACTGAAGGAATTTATGCTACACTAGAGCTGACTTTGGCCTCAGGACTTTTCTGGACTAGGCAGATGTCACAGTTATATGAACATTCTGGAAATTGTCCCATTGTGCTCCTTCTGCAATCACAAGGGAACTACTATGGCAGCAGGATTTGGAGAGCTTATACAAAGTTCAACTCCCCCCTTTGAGCTGTGGAGTGCATCTCTGCTGGCCTCCCCTATGCATAATAGGGGGGAACATTGTGGGGGATATAAGTCTGGTGGGTCTGGAGGCTGTAATAGTAGCTATGGAATGGCTTTGCTGCTGTTCTACAGCCTGAGAGAAGGATTCCTTCCCATCTCTCTTGGATATCTGTTCTGTTTTCTGGGGCTGTGCACAGATATAAGATTTTACCCTAAGTGACTGCTTTACAGCCATGTAGAGAGTATTTATATTTTAAAGTGCTTTAAAAGTTTAAGTATCTTCTAACCAAACTGTTACATTAATAAAATGTAAAAGCAGTATGGGTGTGTGGGTGTGTGTGTGTGTGACACATAGATGAAATACTGTTATTTATTTCTGTGCATTTAATCTAATTTTTAAAATGGCTTATTTATTGCTTTGGGAACTTCAGATAAAACTGAGAATACCCATCAATATAGATGGAAAAATCTTCCAAAATAATAAGAAATGAATAAAATCTCTAAATTTTGGTGATGTCAGAAACCACTCAGATGCTACTAAGTGATGTTAGAGGTAACATCATTTGGAAAAATATAAACCATAGTTTAATCTAATGTGTGGACATTTAAACCCCTGTCCTAATTATCCTTTGCACCAAGGCTTCTTTGAGCAAACTACTCATGCACTTACTTTATGGACCCTTCACACACTCAGAGCAGTGTAATTGGGTGTTAGTGTAAATGAGCATCTGGCTCAGTATGTATATTTCTTCAAGTCATTAGCATGTTAAGGTTTTGTCTGCATAATTCATCAATAAATACTTACTAACTGGATTTTTGTATTAGGTAAGTCCATAACATTCTATGTCCAGCTTTCCTTGAAGTAAAGTTAATAGAAAATGAAGATGTTTATTGCAATATAAATATTTTGCTACATTATTAGCACTTATAAGGCCAAATAATGAATTTGATTCACCGCTCCATTACTCCAGTATTACTGCAGTGTGATTTGATTGTCAACAGTAGAGTTAAACTTTTTAAAAAACAGGAGTGAAAGGTTGAGCTTATTGAAGATCACTATTATACTGCTTTATGGTTATGGATACTCTACAGTATCTAATTTCTCTTGTTTATCCTCTTTCAGCTTTCACAACTTATAGTCAATGCAGGAGGAGTTGCTGCTGTGATTGACTGTATTGGCAACTGCAAAGGAAATGTCAGGCTGCCTGGCATCATGATGCTTGGCTATGTAGCAGCTCACTCTGAGAACCTGGCAATGGCAGTGATCATCTCCAAGGTTAGCTCTGGCTTTCTTGTCTTCCTATAGCCATTACAGTGAGATTCTGAGCAGAAGAGGTAGAAGAATATAGTCCCACAGATAATTGGGTGGAGTGGTTTATTGATTTGTTTAGTAATGCACACCACAGAAAAAGAACTAGCATAATTTCCTGTTTTGTATGTCTCTTAGGTTCTGATCCTGCAAACAATTTCATGCTTAACTTTCAGCATTGAAATCAGTGATATTCTTCTTCGAGTGATTGCTCATGTCCATTTGAATAAGGTGTGCGCGCCACGTACACCGTCTCTCTGGAGCGTTTTCCCAAGCAGTACCCGTAGCACCGGCAGGTCGCCCCCTGGAGTGGCACTGCTATAGCGAAACATAAGTACCCCTGCCGGCGCTCCCCCTTCTCAGTTCCTTCTTACCGCCCATGATGGTCATTGGAGCATGTCTATTTTCTGTAGTTAATGGTTCCCGTTTCTAGTTAGAGTAGTTAGATAGCAAGTTTTTTGTTCTCCTTCCCCCCCTTCGGGGATAAGGAATGCCAGGGCCACAAGGCTTTAAGGCTTGCGTGGTATGCGCGAAGTTCATGCCTAACAGGGACCCTCATGATAGCTGTTTAAAGTGCTTGGATGAGCCCACTTAGCAGACACCTGTAAGATCTGCAGGTCGTTCAAACCGCGCACGAAGAGGGAGATTCGCGTTTGAAGCTCCTCCTCATGGAAGCGGCCCTTCAACCGACACTGGCTGGTCACTCCACCGTGTGCAGTGTACCGGCGTTGATGTGAGATGCCCTGTCCCGTTCGAGGACATCGGTGCTAAGGGCCAGGCACTGTTCCCACTCCTCGGCACTGAAAAAATCAAAGACATCACAGGGTAGGTCGCCGAGCCGGAAGTCAAGGTTGGGCCTACACCACCAGTACGGGTCGCCTGCGGAGGGCTCTCCAAGTGTTGCTGTGTGGCGGAAGCGAGTGGGCCGGCCATCCAGTCCTGGTCAGCTGCATTCTCATCGACCCTCGATGCCGGAGACGTTTGAGGCAGCACAGGACTTAATCAGCCTCACCACCTCCCCTCCGTCATCTGTTGAGGCGGAGAGGTCGAGGTCTTCTACGCTGGGGGCCATCTTGGCACCAGTTTCTCCACTGCACAGTGTGGAACGGTCTTCACCTGCCATGTATGCGGCGGGACCGTCCCCTGTTGAACCAGTACTGCTCGCAGCAACATCAGTGCCAGACTTGGTGCAGACGGGCAGGCCTCACCCGACGCTGGCGGCATCGATGAGCGCGGGCTGGACTCGGCCTCCCGCCACAGTTCCAGTACAGGGTCATCATTTGGAAAAATATAAACCATAGTTTAATCTAATGTGTGGACATTTAAACCCCTGTCCTAATTATCCTTTGCACCAAGGCTTCTTTGAGCAAACTACTCATGCACTTACTTTATGGACCCTTCACACACTCAGAGCAGTGTAATTGGGTGTTAGTGTAAATGAGCATCTGGCTCAGTATGTATATTTCTTCAAGTCATTAGCATGTTAAGGTTTTGTCTGCATAATTCATCAATAAATACTTACTAACTGGATTTTTGTATTAGGTAAGTCCATAACATTCTATGTCCAGCTTTCCTTGAAGTAAAGTTAATAGAAAATGAAGATGTTTATTGCAATATAAATATTTTGCTACATTATTAGCACTTATAAGGCCAAATAATGAATTTGATTCACCGCTCCATTACTCCAGTATTACTGCAGTGTGATTTGATTGTCAACAGTAGAGTTAAACTTTTTAAAAAACAGGAGTGAAAGGTTGAGCTTATTGAAGATCACTATTATACTGCTTTATGGTTATGGATACTCTACAGTATCTAATTTCTCTTGTTTATCCTCTTTCAGCTTTCACAACTTATAGTCAATGCAGGAGGAGTTGCTGCTGTGATTGACTGTATTGGCAACTGCAAAGGAAATGTCAGGCTGCCTGGCATCATGATGCTTGGCTATGTAGCAGCTCACTCTGAGAACCTGGCAATGGCAGTGATCATCTCCAAGGTTAGCTCTGGCTTTCTTGTCTTCCTATAGCCATTACAGTGAGATTCTGAGCAGAAGAGGTAGAAGAATATAGTCCCACAGATAATTGGGTGGAGTGGTTTATTGATTTGTTTAGTAATGCACACCACAGAAAAAGAACTAGCATAATTTCCTGTTTTGTATGTCTCTTAGGTTCTGATCCTGCAAACAATTTCATGCTTAACTTTCAGCATTGAAATCAGTGATATTCTTCTTCGAGTGATTGCTCATGTCCATTTGAATAAGGTGTGCGCGCCACGTACACCGTCTCTCTGGAGCGTTTTCCCAAGCAGTACCCGTAGCACCGGCAGGTCGCCCCCTGGAGTGGCACTGCTATAGCGAAACATAAGTACCCCTGCCGGCGCTCCCCCTTCTCAGTTCCTTCTTACCGCCCATGATGGTCATTGGAGCATGTCTATTTTCTGTAGTTAATGGTTCCCGTTTCTAGTTAGAGTAGTTAGATAGCAAGTTTTTTGTTCTCCTTCCCCCCCTTCGGGGATAAGGAATGCCAGGGCCACAAGGCTTTAAGGCTTGCGTGGTATGCGCGAAGTTCATGCCTAACAGGGACCCTCATGATAGCTGTTTAAAGTGCTTGGATGAGCCCACTTAGCAGACACCTGTAAGATCTGCAGGTCGTTCAAACCGCGCACGAAGAGGGAGATTCGCGTTTGAAGCTCCTCCTCATGGAAGCGGCCCTTCAACCGACACTGGCTGGTCACTCCACCGTGTGCAGTGTACCGGCGTTGATGTGAGATGCCCTGTCCCGTTCGAGGACATCGGTGCTAAGGGCCAGGCACTGTTCCCACTCCTCGGCACTGAAAAAATCAAAGACATCACAGGGTAGGTCGCCGAGCCGGAAGTCAAGGTTGGGCCTACACCACCAGTACGGGTCGCCTGCGGAGGGCTCTCCAAGTGTTGCTGTGTGGCGGAAGCGAGTGGGCCGGCCATCCAGTCCTGGTCAGCTGCATTCTCATCGACCCTCGATGCCGGAGACGTTTGAGGCAGCACAGGACTTAATCAGCCTCACCACCTCCCCTCCGTCATCTGTTGAGGCGGAGAGGTCGAGGTCTTCTACGCTGGGGGCCATCTTGGCACCAGTTTCTCCACTGCACAGTGTGGAACGGTCTTCACCTGCCATGTATGCGGCGGGACCGTCCCCTGTTGAACCAGTACTGCTCGCAGCAACATCAGTGCCAGACTTGGTGCAGACGGGCAGGCCTCACCCGACGCTGGCGGCATCGATGAGCGCGGGCTGGACTCGGCCTCCCGCCACAGTTCCAGTACTGGGTCCTCTGCCGGAGCCAATTCTGGCTATGCGGGTACCATACTATCCAATTCCGTACTTGGCGTCAACACTGCCGGCACCGGTGCAAACTGGCCATGGGGCACCATCAACGGCACTGCCAGCAGTACCAGCACCAGGCCTGTTGCCTGGGGCGCCAGTACAATTATTGGCTCCGCTAACTTCGGCACCGCTGCAAAGTGTTCCGGCACCGACACCGGTTTCGGCACCGGCACCGGCCCTGTAGGCCACACCAGCACCATCCATGTCAATGACACCGACACCTTCTAGGGCGGCGCTGATGACACCGGCTCCATCAATATTGCCGACTATAGTGCCCACGGCGGCTCCGGTAGGGGCGCCGTCTCTTGGGCGGTTGGACTCCACGGTGCCTTACTCACAATTGGCACCGAGTTTGGCACCGCATGAAATGTGCGGTGTGTCAGCACCACAACCAGACACAGATGCAGTTTTTCTGGTGCTGGCACCTGTACAACCTCCTCGCTGTGCACACACAGGCAAGCTGGAGTCAATGGCCAACTTCGTGCCCGCAACAGTACCAGTGTACTCGTCGTCAGCCACACCCTGCCCCGAATCTGATTATTCCTCAGATTTGGATGTGGGCTCAATCAGATCGGGGTCCTCAAGGGCGTCATCGGGGCACAGATCCTACTCTTGGCACCGGCAAGATCGGTCCCACATGCAGCAGACCTGGCATCCTCAGCCTCAGTGGCCGTTCTGGACGCCGTGAGCATATCATCAATGGCAGGGGCCTGTGCCCTCTTCCACGGCATCTAGTGTTTTGGGGCAGCGAGTGCACCTGTCGGCATCTCTGTTGCGACCCCCTTCCTCACCTCAGAGGAGTGGTGCCCTGGATGCAACGAGGGACCCCGCAGCCTCGGTACCGGAGCCACCACCGGCGCCAGTGGTACTTGCCCAGCCGTCCCCCCACCCAGGCCCTATGCTGGACCCGGTGCTGATTCAGGAGTCTTCGTCATTGTCGTCTCCTGATGAGGCTTTAGCAGATCTGGCTACAGCTTTGTCAATTATGGATGCCAGGTCGCATCAGGAGCTGCTTCGCTGCCTAGCCTCCAACCTGAATGTCACGGTGGAACCTGTTATAGAGGACATGGATCCTATGATAGACATCCTGTCCGATGATGCTCCCGCCTGCTTGGCTTTGCTGCTTAATAAGACCGTGGCTAAGGTCACGAATGCCCTGTTGCAGACCCCGGCTTCCTTAACCCCTACCTTAAAGGGAGTCAAGAGGCGCTATTATATCCTGCAGTTGGGACCCGAACACCTGTATTCCCAGCCTGTCCCGGGGTCCTTGGCCTTCCAAGCTGTGGCTCAGAAGGAGAGGCTTCCGCAACTGGGGCCGTCCCCGAAGGCCAGGGAGCCCAAGCGCCTCAACCTTATGGGGCGTAAAGTATATGCCACTGGTGGGGTGCAATTCTGCATCGCAAATCAGCAAGCGATGCTGAGCTGCTTCGCAGACAATACACGGCAGGCAATGGACAAGTTTAAAGACAAACTTCCCCCAGAGGGGGCTATGATCATGGTGGGCAGAACCATAGCCCACATGGCGCTTCAGGCCTCCCTGGACGCGGTTGACTCTGCAGCCCCCGCCATGGCTTCAGGGATAGTTATGCGCTGTGTGCCTTGCTCCAGGTTTCTGGGATACCTGCTGATGTCCAGAATACAATACAGGACCTGACCTTCGACGGCAAGTCATTGTTCTCGGAGCATACCGACTCTAGGCTCCATACGCTGAAGGACACTAAGTCGACTCTTCGCTCTTTGGGGATCCACACGCCGGCCCCTCAGCAACATCAGCTCCCCTACAGACAACAGGGGAGAATGCAGTCCCAGGTCCCCCGTGGGGATTATGGGAGACACCGTCCTCATGCTCCCAGTGGGGGTATGGGGGCGGCTGCAGCCCCCTCCTTGACGAGGGCTCGTTGTCGCCGCCTGAGAGGAGACAACTCCCTTGGGGTTGGACAGGGCCCCTCTCAACAATCCAAACACCTGTTTTGATGGATCCCTAGAGAGTTGCGTACCAGTCGCTTCCCCTGGCCCTCCGCAAAAGGGGGTGCACGTTTTTCCATACCTAGACGACTGGCTCATTCGTGGCCGATCCTACGGACAAGTGGAGGCCCGTGTATCCCTTACAAGGGCTCTCTTTGAGAAATTAGGCCTCATGCTCAACGATGAAAAGTCGTCGCTGACCCCCTGTCAGCAACTGGAATTTGTGGGGGCCCTCTTGGACGCCAGGGTGGCACGAGCCTTCCTCCCCAGGAACAGATTTGTGACTATAGTAGAGCTGGTCTCCGAGTTAACCCGGTTCCCCATGACAACCGCCCAAGCTTGCTCGAGGCTGCTGGGGCACATGGCAGCACGTACGTCTGTGGTGCACCACGCGCGCATGAGACGCAGGCCTGGCTAGCGAAGGTGTTTGATCAGTCCAGGGGTCTCTGGGACGTTAGTCCTGGACGCTTCCAACCTAGGTTGGGGAGCGCACCTAGGGCAGCACAGGACCCAGGACAACCGCCCAAGCTTGCTCGAGGCTGCTGGGGCACATGGCAGCACGTACGTCTGTGGTGCACCACGCGCGCATGAGACGCAGGCCTGGCTAGCGAAGGTGTTTGATCAGTCCAGGGGAGGGAGCCCAGTCGTCTCCCGTCTGCCGTGAGACTTTGCTGCTCTGGGACCTTTGCATAAGGCACGGTATACACTTGCAGGCGGTGTACCTGCTGGGGTGCAAAAACTTTTTGTTGGTCGATGCATTGAGCAGGTCCTTCAGAGCCCATGAATAGTCCCTGAAGGATACAGCCCTACATCAGATTTTCCTCAGGTGGGGTTGTCCCCTAGTAGACCTGTTTGCGTCGGCACACAACAGGAAGTGCCAGAGTTACTGCTCTCTACTGGGGCTGGGGGAGCACTCCAGAGGTGATGCCATGACCGTGCCTTGGCCAGCTGGCATCCTATATGCATTTCCACCGTTTCACCTAATTCCCAGGGTTCTGACCAGGGTCAAGATCTTTAGGTCATTCTGATAGCCCTGCGGTGGCCCAGGCAATTCTGGTTTCCTATCCTGGTGGACATGCTGTGCGTGGAGCCTATAACGCTCCCCCCAGATCAGGATCTCCTGACCCAGCCCTGGGACAGGGGACAGCTGGTTCACCCGAATCTCAGCTCTCTCCACCTGACAGCCTGGTTTATCCGTGGCTGACACAACCAGAAAGGAAATGTTCCCAGGAGGTGCAGATGGTCCTCCTAGGTAGCAGGAAGACATCCACCAGGCGATCCTATGCAGCCAAGTGGTGGCGTTTTACGCACTAGGGGTCCAGAAGGTAGGTACACCCGTCCTGTGCGCCTGTCCCGTCCATTCTGGACTACCTGTTCGAACTCAGGTCCAGTGGGCTCTCTACCTCCTCTGTGAAGTACATGTAGCCTCACTCTCCGCCTTCCATGTTGGATCAGCAGGAGTCTCTCTGGACTCTGACCCTGTGGTCAAAAGGTTCCTCAAAGGTTTAGATAAGTTGTTCCCCTCGGTTAGACCCCCACTCGGTTAGACCCCCTTAACCTTGTACTGTCGAGGCTTGTGTCTTCCCCCTTTGAACCACTGGCCATGCGTTCCTTCAAGCACCTTTCTATGAAGGTTGCGTTCATTGTAGCCATTACCTCCGCTCACAAGGTCTCCGAACTGAGGGCGCTAACTGTTAACCCACCCTACCTCGTGTTCTCAGAGAATAATGTGAGACTCCGTCCTCAACCTGCTTTTCTCCTCAAGGTAGTGTCACTGTTCCATCTGTCCCAAGAAATTTACCTCCCGGTTTTCTTTCCAAAGCCCCATGCCTCACCTAAAGAGCAAGTGCTCCATTCCCTAGATGCTAGGCATGCGCGAGCATTTTACATTGATAGGACAAAACCCTTTCGTAAATCCATGCAGTTGTTTATTGCTTTCGCCGACAGAATGAAAGGGCTCCCTATTTCAACCCAGAGGTTGTCCAATTGGGTCGTGGGGTGTTTCAGGGAGTGTTACGACTTGGCCTAGAAAGTTCCGCCCTGGGTTACAACACATTCCACCAGGGCGCAGGCGTCCTCTGTAGCCTTTGGAGTGCAGATTCCGATTACCGAAATCTGCAGGGCAGCCATGTGGTCATCAGCACACACCTTTACAATGCACTATGCGCTGACACAGCAGGCCAGGGAGGACGCAGGGTTGGGTTCTGCGGTCCCCAGGTCTGTGTTGTGACTGTGTTTGTTTCTGTACCACATTGCATCTTTCGATCAGTTCTCTGTGTTCTGTTAGTTGAATAAATATGTTCTCTGTTGTTCAACTATCATTTGCTTGTCTTTCTGGGTGCTCCGACCCCTCTTCCGTAAAGTGGGGTTAGCTTGGAAGTCACCTTACTCAAATGGACATGAGCAACCACTCAAAGAAGAAAAGAACGGTTACTTACCTGTAACTGTTGTTCTTCGAGATGTGTTGCTCATGTCCATTCGATTCCCCCCCTACTTCCCCTTCGTTGGAGTGTCCAGCAAGAAGGAACTGAGGAGGGGGAGTGCCGTCAGGGGTACTTATGCTCCGCTATAGCGGTGCCGCTTCAGGGGGTGACCTGCCGGCGCTATAGGTACCTCTTGGGTAAACGCTCCGGAGAGACGGTGAATGCAGCGCACATGCCTTATTCGAATGGACATGAATGGACATCTCGAAGAACAACAGCTACAGGTATGTAACCGTTCTTTTACTTAAACACTTAAAGTTAAATACATGCAGTATAAGTTAGGATCATGGCCCTGGTTTTCAGTTATGTACTTACAGATAACTATTATGGAAATAGTAAAACTACACTAAAAATAGTATTAAATTTCAAACTTGGTAGTAGCAGTACACTTACTCTGGATAAAACACATCCATTCTTTTCAATAATACGTCCATACAGTTGAATATAATTTTATATTAAATTATTCAACACAAGAATTATAATTTATGTGTGCCTTTATTAAATAAACAACTTAACCATAGTACATTTTAAAAAACATGTATACTTTAGATACAAGATTTCATACCAAGTGATAAGAGTGCATTTTCTGTAATATTATTCAAAGTAGTCACAAAAATGGGATTTTATTCTTTAGTCTGGAAAAGTAAGGTCCTTAACAGGTTTCTGCTTTTGTGCAATATTGGTATGGATTGGTTTACTAGAAAAAAGCATGTGTTGAAATGAAAAATTATGCTGAGTTGCGTTTGCACATACATTGAAAAGAAAATGTGTGACTTTCTATAGCCTGTTTCTGTTAAAATGAATATTTGTGGCCACATTATATTCCTTTTTGGAAACAAGAATTTATGATAATATATCCTTTACTAAATCAATATAACTGTACTGCTGCTACTGTAATACATTTATAAGAAAAATCATGATGCTTACACAAAATCTTGGTCCCTGAAATGCACTGCATAGTTTGATTCAGCTATTCACATGATACTTTAGGTTTAATAAGGTTGATGTTTGTAGATTTTACAGTTTTAAATGAATCTGATAGTAGTGTGGAGGGGAGGGAATTACCACATATTCAACAGGCAATAAGAAGGTTTAATATTTGTTAAATATAGTTGTTTCTACCATAACATTTTGATGTGTGTTAAAGCATGTGGATAGTTAAATAATTATTATGAATTCTCAAAATACATAATTTTAGTTATAAACTGGGCATGATTAAGGGAACAATCTAACTGATGAAGGTCCCAACTCATGTGAGCATAGGTGAATGTCTCCCTGTGTAAGAATGTGTTTGTCGTTCTTAGATTAATTGTGTCTAATGCAAAAGAGAAAAAACAATAGGAAATATTCCTATTAATAAAAAAATATAACATCAATAAAGAAATACTTAAGAGCTTGGAATATCAATGTCTGATAAAAATGGCATGTTTGCTTTCAGCTGCAGCCTGAATTGCGGCATCTGCTCTTTGAATCCTTTAGAATAGCTGACGTGTTCATTAAAACTGCCCTCAAACTCAGAGAAACTAGCAGATTTAATATTCTTTGTCCAGTTAGACTTGTACTGTATAGATTTAAAAAAAATTCTTTCTGGCCATGTAGTTGATTTGAAAAATGAGCCCCATCCTATGTTTGTCTACAGTTTATTTAAGACAGAAAAATAGAACAAGAGAAATAAGCTTTTCCTAATAATGTTTCAGAGTCTAGTCCTGCCCTAGATTCATAATGTTTGTGTTTTTTTAATGAATACTACAGGGGGTTCCACAGCTGTCTATCTGCTTGTCAGAGGAACGAGAAGATCATATTAGGGCAGCCACTGCTTGGGCTTTGGGGCAGATTGGAAGACATACTCCAGAACATGCACGTGCTGTTGCTGTAACAAATGTTTTACCAGTGCTACTTTCCCTGTATATGGAAACAGAAAGCTCAGAAGATCTTCAAGTAAAAGTAGGTGCAGGGTCTGAAATAATATGCATAATTAGCAGATTTAAGTCCCTCAGAATTACAGTGTTAATTGTTATTCAGTACTATCATTGCTACAAGTCAGGGAGTGATGTCTAATGGTATATTTTTATTTTTTGTGCACATAACCCTTACAGTTTTATATGTGCTAACAATTAGAAATGTGCTTGCATTTTTGCTGGCTTGCAAAAAACCTCTTGGGTAAAGAGTTGTCCATATTTAACATCATCTTTGCACATTTATGGGGGGCAATTACTGTCTGCCTATTAGTCTTTGTTGAACTAGATTTTTGTGTGATATTACAGAAAATAATGTTATAATATAATATATGATATATATCTTACCACATCAGGTCTTGTAATTTTGAAGGCAACTAGAGAATGATCTGCCCCAAATCTGTTGAATAAGAAAATTCCACCTTTACATAGCTAATTTCAGAGTGTTAAGGCCAATGATCACAAGAAAAAAAAAGTCATCTGTTCTCTGAACCTGCAGTCCTAACAATTAAGTAATTATTTTGTGTACTTTCTCTGGTTTAGGACCCACACCCTGATGTACATTCACTTTCCTCTGCTGACATGGTAGTTCAAGGTGCTGCTCTAGACTAGCAGGATCTCCTAATAAATGACTGCTCAATTTCAATCTTTTAAAAGCATGTTTTTAATTACGTTCTAGCATGATACAGTAATTTAATTTATATTTACTTAGGGATCCTGCTCCCTTTCCCATTGTGCTCAGAGAAAAATTGCCATGACTTTGATTAGATAATTTAATAGGAATATGAGCCACTGAATGTTTGTTTTTCAGTTTGATAAGATGAGCTGAAATTGATTTTTTATTAAAATAATTGATACATTGTGTAGACTTGATTCCGACAAATGCCCCTTTGAAATAATTCCCACCAAAGAAACAAACTGATCAGACTTCAAAGCCCAGAAATATGGAACATAAATTCACCTTGTTGTTTCATTGGTGTCTTATTATAGACATTTTGTTTTGCATTTCAATAGACTAAAAAGGCTTTAAAGAACATCCTGCAGAAATGCACATACCTGCCAGCACTTGAACCCTTGCTGCATGATGCGCCTCCCAATATTTTGAAACATGTAGTTGGGCAGTTCAGTAAGGTAAGAAATAGTTGTTTGGTGAATGATATATTAACCATCTATCATATAGACCACATGTTTACAATATTATTGTAGTTCTGTTGGTCCCACAATATTAATGAGACCGGAGGGACAAGGTAAGATTTTTTTCTTCTTTGAGTGATGTTCCTGTGGGTGCTCTCCATTGTTGGTATTGGGCTTGTTCCAGCACCGCAGATTGGAGATTTTTCCAGCAGTATTTGGTCAGGTCGCACATGCGCAGTTGCAGGCACAAGCCATTCGCATCATTGGAGTTTGCACACGTGGCCCGACTCCCTTTAGTTTTCTTCTTACCATCCTCAGTCATAGATGGAGTCAGAATCTCTCCTCCCTTTAGAGTTCCTGTAGATAGAAATTTACTTCATAGTTATTTGAAAGTTCTGTTGTTACTGTTGTTCTCTAGTTACTGTTGTCTTTAGTTGCATTGTTATTGTTTAAAAAAAAAAGGGTTATTTTTATGGACAAATAGTGATGATTTGGGTGTGCTGGTGCTGATGACTAGATCGCATTCAATCTGACCACCATCACTCAGAGAGGTGGCTCATTCACCTTGATCACCCATTCTCTCACATTTCAGTGATTATGAGGAGGACCTTCGCAGTGTATTCTACTCCTAGCACTGCTCTCCAGATAGACCAGACACGCCTCATCAACGACACTGATCACGATATTCCCAACATGGTACCCGGAATGGTCCTATTATTCACATTACCCATCAAGGTGGTCTCCAAATAGACACTGAGCACCACTTAGCGCTCCATGCCACCATCAACTCCCTCTTCAGATTGGGGCCACCTTCCCGCTCCCACAGCCCTCCTCCTCCAATGGAAGATCTGGAAACTGAAGGACAGATTATGGATGATGGCGACCCTAACCAACTGGGAACCTCTCTGGGGGTATGTCTACACTACCCTCCTAGTTCGAACTAGGAGGGTAGTGTAGACATACCCTAACAGCTAATGAAGCCCGGGATTTGAATTTCCCGGGCTTCATTAGCATAAGCGGAGAGCCGCCATTTTTAAATCCCCGCTGCTTCGAACCCCGTGTAGCGCGGCTACACGGGG